TCCACACTCGTAGACTTGATGAAATTATTCTCGTAAATTACCGGCGTTCCTCCGGCGCGGGCGGATTAACTCGCGCCATGGCGGGCGAGCTGCGTCGGGACGATCTCGATTCAGGCGAACTTAAGGCCCGACGTGTGTCTTTTTCTCCGCCTCTTTCTTCGCTAAGCGCCGAGAACTGGCCCAAGTTTCTTACGCGCGCGATGATGGCGATGATAGAGGAGAGGCCCTTGAATGGCGGCGGATGAAAGGCCGACGGCGCGCCTTTCACGGGACGAAATTGAGATGGGGGGGTGCGGGGTCGGGGCGGGTCGGGGCGGGTCGGGGCGGGTCGGGGCGGTCGGCTTAGAAACAAACGGACGGCATGTGCGCGGCGTCTTCCGTGGACACACGTACAGGAAACACACACACACGCACGCACGTACACACGCACGTACACACGCACGTACACACACGTACACACACACGTACACACACACGTACACTCGTCTCTTCTCTCTCTTCTCTCTCTCTCTCTCTCTCTCTCTCTCTCTCCGTCTCTCTCTCCTCTCTCTCTCTCCTCTCTCTCTCTCTCGTCCTCTCTCTCTCTCTCTCTCCCCTCTCTCTCTCTCTCTCTCTCCATTTTCTCTCTCTCTCTCTCCTGCTCCAATTCTTCTCTTCTCTCTCTCCTCATTCTTCCTCTCTCTCTTCTCTCCCTCTCTCTCTCGTCTCTCTCTCCCTCTCTCTCTCTCTCTCTCTCTCTCTCTCTCTCTCTCTCTCTCTCTCTCTCTCTCTCTCTCTCTCTTCTCTCTCTCTCTCTCACCACCTCACACCACACACACACACACACACACACACACACACACACACACACACACACACACACACAACACACACCTATCCCAATCCCCTCCCTTCCACACACCTACACCTCCAGAGCCACACGTCCCCTCCAAGGCCACACGTCCCCTCCAGAGCCACACGTCCCCTCCGATGCCACACGTCCCCCTCCAGAGTCACACGTCCCCCTCCGAAGCCACACGTCGCCCTCCGAAGCCACACGTCCCCCCTCCACACGTCCCCTCCAGAGCACGGCTCACCTCTCAAGATGCACACGTCCCTCCAGAGCACCACGTCCCCCGTCCACACGTCCCCTCCAAGGCACACGTCCCCTCCAGAGCCACACGTCCCCCTCCAAGGCACACGTCCCTCCAGAGCCACACGTCCGCCCCTCCAAGGCCACACGTCCCCCTCCAGAGCCACACGTCCCCCTCGATGCCACACGTCCCCTCCTTCCCCTCCGAAGCCACACGTCGTCCACCTCCGAAGCCACACGTCCCCTCCGAAGCCACACGTCCCCTCGCCACTCCCCCTCAGATGCACACGTCCCCTCCAGAGCACACGTCCCTCCAGAGCACACGTCCCTCCAGAGCCACACGTCCCCCTCCAAGGCCAACGTCCCCTCCAAGCCACACGTCCCTCCAAGGCCACACGTCCCCCTCCAAGAAGCCACACGTCCCCTCCCAAGGCAGCCACACGTCCCCCTCCAGAGCCACACGTCCCCCTCCAAGGCCACACGTCCCCTTCCGGAAGCCACACGTCCCCTCCAGAAGCCACCGTCCCCCTCCAACGTCACCCCTGCACACGTCCCCTCCAGATGCACACGTCCCCCTCCAGAGCCCACACGTCCCCTCCCCACACGTCCTCCTCCAAGCCACACGTCCCTCCGAAGCCACACGTCCCCCTCCAGAGCCACACGTCCCCCTCCGAAGCCACACATGGAAATCAAGAAACAAAAGAAGAGGCGGCGGCGCCCTCCCAGGTCGGGGCCTCGGAGTGGAGAGACAAATAAGCTTGTTAGGTCTAAACAATATTTCTCCGGGACTAAATCTCACTGTATCCGCTTCCGCACAGAATCTCTTGAAAAGTTCGTTGAGGGGGATTTATTTTCCCTCTTTTTGTGTGTTCTGTGTTTTGTTTGTCTTTTTTTTGTTTGTTTGTTTTTGTACCGTATTGAAGTATGTTGTTATTTTCCCTCTTTTTGTGTTTTTTATCTTTTTTTTTTGTACCGTATTGAAGTATGTTGATTTTTAAAATTTGTTTTGTTTTTTGGTTTTATATTTCTATTTCCCTCCCCATCTTCTTTTTCTTCTTCTTCTTCTTCTTTTTCCTCCCTCTCTCTCTCGTCTTAATCTTCTATTGTGTCTTTTTTTTTTGGTTTTCGTTTGATCATCTTTCCGATCTAAAGTTGCCAGCGCTGATTTATTAGTCCAGACTTTGTTGTGGAACTATTTACGTTTTATAAACGTTGGCAACTTTGAGGAAAAGGTTTGCGCAGGAAAATAAAGTTGAGATGATTATAATAATGATGATAAGTATGGAAAAAGATAATAAGTATGGAAAAAGATATGTATAACGATAATGATAAAGATGGTGATTATAAAGCTTTTAATTTTGGTAATGGTAATAACAGTACTAATAGAAATAGCAGTAGTCGTATTATTATAGTATTGATTGTAATGATAATTATTATAATGATGATAATATTAATAACAAAAAGGATAATGATAATGATAATAATAGTAATAAGAATAAGAAGAACAAAGACCGTAGTTGTAGTAGTTACAGTACACCTAATGGTACTTAGGATAACACAAATAGCAATATCAAAAATCATTTAACTGTCTTCTACTTTTCTGTTTTCATTCCCTCGAAATATGGCCCACGAATGCTCCTCGTTGTATTTAGAAAAGGGAATTACGACACGAAATGATTTAAAAGGCCTTCGAGTTCGGGGGAATGGCATTTACATCAACAATAATGGCGATCACGTGATTTTAGGTTGATTGTTTGTGACTTGCGAGGGCGAGGGGAGAGAGGCGGGGGGGTGAGGGCGGGAGAGGCGAGGGGAGAGAGGGCGGGGAGGGTGAGGGCGGGAGAGGGCGAGGGAGGAGAGGGCGGGGGAGGGGAGGGGGGGAGAGGCGAGGGGAGAGAGGGCGGGAGGGTGAGGGCGGGGAAGAGAGAGTGAGGCGGTGAGGCGGGAGAGGGAGAGAGGGGGAGAATGATGGAAGCAGAGAGGGAATATTGAGGAGAGAGGGATAATGGTGGAGGAAGAGAGGGAGAATAGGGAGGAGAGAGGGAGAGAATGATGGAGGAAGAGAGGAAGAATAGAGAGGAGAAAGGGAAAGAATGATGAAAGCAGAGAGGGAGAATAGAGAGGAGAGAAGGGAGAAAGAGAGCGAGAGCAAGGCATAAAAACAGCTGAGACAGAGACAGAGAGATAAATTAGAGAGAGAGAGAGAGAGAGAGAGAGAGAGAGAGAGAGAGAGAGAGAGAGAGAGAGAGAGAGAGAGAGAGAGAAGAGAGAGAGAGAGAGAGAGAGAGAACAAAAACAGTCAAGAGAAAGAAGAGAGACAAAAAAAGTCAAGAGAGAGACGGAGCGAGACAGAGCGAGACAGCGAGCGCGGCCTCATTTGCGACCAGAATCCCTCCCGCGCCACACAAGTCACGAAGAGGAGAGGTCGAGAAATCATCGGGTTGTCGCCGGATTAATAGGTTTTTGGAAAATTGCCGATAACGACTCGCTGGAAATCGCTAATGACCTGTGCTTTTAATCTCTCGCTCTCCCCTCCTCTCTCTATCTATCTCTTTTTTTTCTCTCTTTCTCTTTCTCTTTCTCTTGCTCCTCTCTCTCTCTCTCTTTCTTTCTTTTGCGCTCTCTCTTGTTTCTCTCTCTCTCTCTTTCTCTGCTTCTCTCTCTCTCTTGCTCTCTCTCTCTCTTTCTCTCTCTCTCTCTCTCTCTCTCTCTCTCTCTCTCTCTCTCTCTCTCTCTCTCTCTCTCTCTCTCTCTCTCTCTCTCTCTCTCTCTCTCTCTCCTCTCTCCCTCTCTCTCTCTCTCCTCTCTCTCCCTCCCTCCTCCCTCCCTCCCTCCCTCCCTCCCTCCCTCCCTCCCTCCCTCCCTCATTGTCTACTTTGTTTCATCCTATCCATAGAGAATGATAAAGGAAGACGTGAAGTTCGATGGATGGTGGAAAGGTAGAGATAGAGAAAGAGAGGGAGCAAGGTAGGAGTGGGACAGGGCGAAAGAGAGAAGGGAGAGTATCGGAAGGATAGAGGAAGAGAAGGGAGGCAAGGAATGTGGAGAGAGAGGGAGAGGGGAAGGGAGTAGAACCAGGAGAAGGAGAAGGAGTAGAAGAAGGAGATAGATAGAGAGTTAGGTAGAGAGAGATAGATAGATAGATAAGAGAGAAAGAGAGCGAGAAAGAAAGAGAAATAACCAAAAAGCGAGAGCAGGAAGGAGACTGAGGCCCGACTGATAAACGGAGCGAGATGACCGCCCGCGTGAGACGGGAAGGCAATAAATGCGCTGGCGTGATGGCAGACGAAGGCGAAGGACGGCCGTTGGAATCTGCACGACGGAACGGGGTGCGAAGGGGGGAGAGAGGGAGGGATAGACGTGCACCGGAGAGGGGGAAAAGAAAAAAAAGAAAAAATGTGTGTGTGTGTGTCCGCAAAATATGGATAGGCGGATGTGGGTGGGGGATAAACGTGAACCAGAGAAAGAAATATATATATCCGCAAAATATGGATGGGTGGATGTGGGGGGGGGGCAGAGAGGGTGGGAGAGAAACGTGAACCAGAAAGAAAAAAAAATATATATGTGTCCGCAAAATACGGAATGGGCAGATGTGGGTGGGGGCAGAGGAGGGGGAGGATAAACGTGAAAAAAAATATGTCCGCAATATATGGATGGGGGGATGTGGGTGGGAGAGAGAGAGAGAGTGAGGGATAAACGTGCACCAAAAATCAAATTATCCGCAAAATATAGACGGGGGGGGATGTGGGAGGGGGGTCAGGAAGGAAAGGGGGTGGAGGGGGAGTTAGCCAGGAAAAAAAATGGGGATGTGGTTGGGGTCAAGAGGGAAGGAGGGGGTGGAGGGGGGAGTTAAAAGGGGAAAAATGGGGATGTGGTTGGGGTCAGAGGAAGGGAAGGAGGGGGTGGAGGGGGGTAAGTTAAACCAGGA